GTGCAAACTCAAGGTCTCAGCAGCATCATGTTTCAGTTGGCTTTCTGTGCAATCATCAGGGAAAGCAGAAACATTTAGGGATCAACTTGAGATGCTTCTTAAGTAAGATGTCTTCAGAACATTGTGTTCAAAAATCTTAGATACGCCTAAGAAGGGAAAGGCTGTTGATGTATTTATTTAGAATGATATTTGTATCAAAAGTCTATGGCATGAGTCTGAACTAGGTGAAATTCTGGCATTTGAAGATGTTTATGGAAAAACATCTTAGAACATGTGTACCAGACTAACAGCACTGTCTGCTCCATGCCATTGAAAAAACAAAATGAGATGTCCTGCACTTAGAGTACTGCAGAGTATAACTCCAGTTTTGCATCTGTTGAAGCAAATACTTAAAATATCTTTTTCAGGAGTGGAGCATCAGATATTCTAAGTTCTTGATTCTTCCTTGTCTAGAAGCCTACTTCATGCTTGGCCCAATATTTTGTTAGGCATTAATGTGGTCTTTTGTTGGAATCTCTTGATATCTGGCAAGATAAATTATCTAAAACAAAGAGGATTGGTTAACATATTAAGACACATAAAAATATGACATATAAAGCTGCTTAGATTCCACAAGCAGAACTTCTATCAGCAGTAGTGTTTTGTTGATTTGAGGGTTTTTTTGTTGTTTGTTTGGTTGGTTTGTTGTTCTATTTTTGGCTCTTTTTTTTGGTTGATTGGGGGGACCCTTTGTTTTCAAATCAGATTAGTAGTGCATACTAAGAGTCTGTGCTTCAGCCAACAATGCCAACGACAAATCTAGGCTATGTACAAGGAATACATCAATGTCTACTGCAATGTAAGAACACTACCCTGAGGAATTCATTGCTTCAACAAATGAGACATTATTTTACTGATGCACCAGGATTGCCTGGTGGCATGCAAGAATATAAATCAGAATTAATTTTCTGCATTTTTACTCTCACATGAAAACATTTAGTGCTTTTCTTAGTATTAGACTGAACAGAGAAACTGAGCTGCCATAGACTTTTTCCAGCTTTGAACCTTATACTTCTTGAAGTACTCCTGGAAAATTACTACATGTTTTATAATGGAGGAGGGAGGCAAGAGTGACTGGATCATAGAAAACAATACAACATATCTGATTACATGAGCCTTCTGTGCAATTAAGCTTTCACTGTATTTTATAGGAGTTTTGCATATGAAGAGCTCTGTGTGAATGGTGTGCAATTCTTGTGTTTGTAAGATGATTCCACAATCTGTCATCCCAAGACAATAAGCAACCTTGCACAGTTTCTGGAATACTTGGCACTAGTGAGCGCCCCTTCCCCTCTCCCCATCCCTTGCTCCAAAAAAGAAAGTAAGTAAATAATTGTGAACAATGTCCTGTTTAAAAACATGACCTTGTTGTTGGGCTATATTCTTACTTTGTTGAACTAGACAACATTTTTCCCCTCCCCTTTTTGGTGAAAGTTTTCTATAGAAAAAAATCACAACAAATTAAACTTAGCACAGCATTATTATTAATCCAGAAAACATCTGGTTCTCTGCTATGCTATATTACACTTTTGATCTTTATCTCACTTCCAAGTATTTTCGTGTATTGCTGTGGCAAAGCATAAAGATTGCAGCTGTGTGAATTCCTTGTGGTAAATTGCTGATTTGAGGAAAATGTAAGGTTCTTTCTGCTTAGTTCACATGTAGTTTTTTTAACACAAAGAACATATTTAATTGAAATTTCTGTAGGACTGAAGCTGGGTCTTCACATGCCCTTTCTAGAGAACAGCAGACAGTGAACATTAAAGCACAGAAATACAGTGAACAATCATACATTAAAATAGCAAACTTTTATTAGCATAAATGAGATTTGTTTCATTTATGTGAACGTTCAGCCTATCACTATACAAAGATAGATAACAATTTTCTAAGGATTTGAGAAGTTTCATTGCATTCTTGTCTTTCATGACAGAAGCAGTCACCAGCTTGGCTTTTCTTTCTCATTTTTCTCTGTGAATTACCTCATTGCTGCTCAATAAAATCACGGAGCCACTCAGCTGTATCATCACTAGTTGGTCTAGCAAAGAATACAAAGAAAGAGAAAAGATTCAGTGTCCAGACCCTGTAACTGTATTGACTCTCTAATGAAATCCTATTTTGCTAAGACTAGTTCTTTCTGATAAAAGCATCTGAACCTTTGGATCCCTTTTTTTTAACTCTTAAAAAGCACTGTTGCATTTATGGATTGTATTTATTTTAATAACTTTCTTATTTGTGATTAAATATTTTTCTGCAAAGTACACATGAATTATTGAACAATATGCACACATACACTCAGAGTTTAGCACTAAAATTTCTGTATGATACATTGTTTTACTGCTGCTAGATTTTGTTGTTTTATTGGTTTTGGTTTTTTGTTTTTTTTTTTTAATTAAAAGCCTTTAGTGATGGATGGGGTTGATCTGGAAGATGGCATATAAACTTGCTTATCATCTCAAAAATTCCCATCCAAAGTTGTGGATATTACAAAACAGGCAGCTTCTCAAAGCCCAGTTGCTTTAGTGAGAAAATGTTCAGTATCTGTACTGTAAATCTGAGGTATCCAGAAGAAACTGAAATCATTCCATGTTGATGCAGAGGTGCAGTAATGAAGTTAAATCAAATGCTGCAGTTATTATTTGGATTTGGTACATGGAGTTACACTTCCCTGTTTACTTGTATTATTAACAGCTTTTTGTAGTTTGCCATGGACAAATTCCATCCAGTATTGAATTCAATCAACTAAAATTCCTTGAGAAAAATAACAGTTGTATATGATGTAGGTTTTTGGTATTTTAAATCTTCATTTTGTATGCACATTACTGCTGTTATTCTAACAGCATCTGACAATCAATCCTGCATACTATTCTGCCTACTTGTCTATTGGCTACTACTACAGGCAGCTCTTGAATCCACATTTCTTGCACAAAGTTTAACTTAATTTTCTTTTGAGAGAAAAAGGCCGGTAGTTGACTAAAAATGACAAAAAGAGCATGGGTTTGAAATCCAAATTCAAATATAAAAGGTATAATGGAGGGCAGCCTATATCATTGCTTTGTCGAAACACTTGGCAGCAGAGAACCAAAAGTTAATCAAGCAGAGAACAGTTGAAAACCTTATTTAAAGAAATCACATCTGCTTAGTGGGAGAAAAACCTGAGGCATATGCTTCAATTTCTTTTAAGCTGTAATTCATCCAGTGGTTTACATCTGTTAAAAAGTATGGAACTTTTCACACCTCTTTAAAGCACAATTAAACTGCATTTATTTTAATACATAATGTGTTCCAAATATGTAATACCTTTTCTGAAATGACTCATAGGTTGTTGATTTCATAGCTTTCTATCATATAACCTTCCAGGTCCTTTGAATTAGTTTGTGTATTAACCATACATGAAATTTAAAGGAAAAGGTGTTGAAATGGTGTAAAATGATGCCAGAAACTTCACTACACTTGTCATTTTATATCAAGGCAACAAATTGGCTGGGGGTTGGTGGTGGGGAGGAAAGTTTTCTTAAGCAGTAAAATAAAACATTACAGAGAAGAAAATGTAGTTCAAGAACTTTGGTCACAAATTTTTCGTGTGAGTTTAGCCTAGCTGTTATTGACTATTGCTTATTAAAATCCATGTCTCCCCAAAAGAGTGTTGTTAACAGGACATAATCCAGATAATCTGACCACATTGCCTGAAGTTTAAAGCACCATGGTAAGAGTAGGGTCTATGAACTGTAGAGGACAACCAGAAGTATTTTGGGTAGAGATTTGGGGGGTTGTATCTCATTTATTTGTGTATGAAAAGCAGCTTGGTTCTCCACTGTGGGTTTATAATGACTACTTGTGTATTTTAAATTCTAATTAATTCAATTAATTAGTCTCCTCTGATTTTAAAGTTTTCTGTCACTTTTCTCTATCTGATATTGGGATTTAAAATATTTTTGTACTTCCTGCTTCATTCAGATCCTTTAACATTAGGTTTCTTTTGTAAATGTAAATATAGGAAAATTCATGTGTATAGAATATCTGAAAGACATTTTAATCAGCTGATGGCATACTGTGTACCATAAACCACATGCATCACTCTGCACATGGTTACATGGTCAGTATATGATCATTTAATAAAAGCTAGCCAGTGCTTTGCTTGTTAACATTTCAGCTAGAGTCTAATCAAGTTATAAACAACGGAAAATTTGGCTTTATAGATACATGAGGCATAGAGAACTTGTGTTAGCAAAAAATATTTTGTGGTTTGTGTTAGCAAAAATATAGAGATTAATCTCGAAAGAATAGCCTGACTGTAAACCAAGAGAATTCATTTACAGTGCAGCTGAGCTGCACTATTCCAGTGTCATCTTAGGAAAAAAATTCTCTGAGACCCTCTTCTGTCTCCCTTCAAAATGTGAATGATTTTACAGTCATTGAAAATTCAGTTTTTATTGTGAGTTGCCCATATTACAGGAATATGGTAGATTTAGGCATGTATATTATGGTCCCTTTCAATGTGGTATATATGTCCATTTCGTATTTTGTGGGTTTAACAGAATGCTTATTTTAGCAATATTTTTTCACTGCTAGGTGAATAGATGATGAAAAAAACACAGAGAAATAGCATACATTAAAAAAAATGTTTTTGTCTTCAATATGTTTAGTGTCAAATAGAGCTGTTGGAAAGCATCTCTTGATGACAAGTTTTTTTAAAATGAACCAGATAAATAAAGATTTTTAAAATATGCAGCATGGTTTGATGTGGAAACTATACTAAATATTTTTTAAGGAACCCCTTATAAGATGGTGATAATATATAAAAAATAAAAATGCTCTCAAATGTCTTCTCCTATTAGTATGCAAGTAACTGTTTTCTTCCCGATTCTTGAGCAGTTCCATTTTTTAGTGATTCTACAGGTAAGGCTTCTTTGTTGCTGCAAAATTTAATCATGTGTTCATCCCATTGTTCTCTCTTGTTGCAGAGGATCTAGATGATCTCAGAATGGAAGGAGTAACAAGTGTGGTGTCTTCTGGGAGCAAATTCAATCAAACTCGAAGTGCTCATACGGCTGAGCCTCAAGCAAAGGTCACATTGAATATATGTGCAAGATGTGCCAGGTAAAATCTAAACAAAACCAGATCGTGCTAACCAATACACTTTTTTCCTCCAGGTGTTTGGCTGTGTTTTGTGCTTAAGGACCAGATGATGACCTCTCCTGTGCTAAAAAAAAAAAATTTCTTAGCTACTGGCTACCCTATGACCTCTGGCATTTGAATTGTGCAACTTATGTTTATGCTTGATATGTTGCATCGACGGTGAATCAAAGAACATAGTTAGTCTTAGGCCTTGCTTCACAGCTTGAAACTATTTTGAGCTCTTCCGTCTCTGAATTTCATTAGTTATTTGAGCTTCTGTGGTTTTTCGGAGGATGAATCAGGGAATTTAAGGGTTCAAATCCAATTTGAAAAGCACCTGTATAAATGGAGATTTAGTTGCACAGGTGCTGTTCAGGATTTCAAATAGTTGCTTTTGATCACTTTATAATCTCATCCTGTCTCACCTCTGAGAAATAATTTAGTCAAGTTGAACCCCTTTTAGTTTTGACAACTGGCAATAATTTCTGCATTTACAGTATGAAGACCAAATAAACAGGTTAGTATTCCTGTAGCTTAGTCAACTCGAGAATGCAACACTAACAGAAACCCTTAAATTTCCTGGATGAATTCTTCTCTGTAGACAAAAGCTCATTTGGAGAAAGGATTTAAGCCTGTTTAAATGACAAAACTAGCCTTCTCACCCTTCTGTTAATGGTTCAGATTAGCAAGAACAATATAGAGGCATGCCAATTTTATCTGCCTGCCTTTGCCAGTGGCTGCTCTATTGTGTAGTTTGAGAGCGGATTAGCCGCTTGTAAATAAAAAGCAACCTGTGGTGAAATTAAGTCAAAAGTTTGGCCATATGCCACCCTATTTTTTTCTACTTTTCCCCCCATTTTGCTCATAAATTACTACTTTTCTAAAGCTCTTATATAGACATACAAGACATGCTTCAAGACATTTTTTGATGCTCTGGAAGCACAACTACAGGCAGAACTGAATCACTCGTGCAATAGCATCTCTAGCAGGGTTGTGGAGCCTCAGGGAACTTCACAGTACTGTCAGAGCAGCAGTGACTGGATGGCCTTGTAATTCTGGAGTTTTGCTTGTCAGCAGTATGGTCTTATGCTTTGAGAAAAGAGCAAACATGCAAGTCATGGAATTCTTCCCAATTCAAGCAAAAAAATTGCTTATGTTGTAAAATGTTTCCAAACAACTACCTAACATGAAAGCGTGGCACATTTTTTCACCCGACATCCATAGTCCATGGATTAAGAAGTAGAGAAGTAAGGAATATGGAAACCTTAAGTTCTCTAAATTCTGAGGTTCTGAACTTACATAACATCTTTTATGGATTACTATGAAGGTTAATTAAGTTTTGAATTCCCTTAAGTAGCTGCTAACAGCAGGTGCCAAGATAGTATATATTCTCTCAGTCCTGCACACCAGGGAACAAAGGGTTCAGATCTTGAGCCAAACCTAGCAACCTTGGCTATTGGTATTGTTCTTTAACTGCATGTAATAAACGATTCTGCCCTTTAAAATAAAATGAGCTGGGAGAAAAAGATCCCTTTTGTCACTTCGCTTACCAGAGAATGCAAAACAATGCTTTATTTTGCGTGTGCACCTTCAATGATTTCCCTACCGTGTTTAAGGAAATCGGTGAGGAACTGGGTGATACCTTCATGACTGTGATTCTTTTTACTCCTGTTGCAGTTTAGCAGTTTCTTTAAACTATGGAGGAATTAAAAAAAATACACCATCTCTTTAGGAGCAAGGGAAGTCAAAAGAGACAAACTAGTATTTCTGTTGTGTTCAGTAGTGAGGAAGCTAGCATTTTTTTCTTCAAGGTGATAAAGTCTCTCCATTCTTTTGGAGCATTCCTTCCTTCTTACTGAGGACACCTTTCCTCTCGTCAAGACAGTTTTTAGTGCAATTAGCTCTCTCTTCAGTACCTTCACAGGGGTTTAGTCTGGCACCTTCTTGCAGCAGATGAAGTAGGGGGTACAGACAGTTGCATGAAACAAGTGGCTTCAAAGACATGAAGACAGTTTTTTCGTGTTTGATTTCAAGAGCAATTAGATTGTCAGTCAATGAAATAGCCATTAAAAACACCGTGCTATAAAATTAGATCGTCTCACTGAATCAGTTTCTCAGTATTGGCCCTTGTTTCTGTTGTTATGACAAAGGCTAATAGTTAATGTAAGGTCAAAATATAGATCCTATTAGACTATTAATTTGTTATAGAAATTATATTTTTATGTTTTCATGTACCATTTTCTAACTAGTCTTGTGTGCTGTACAGTGTATATAAAAATACTGTATGATTTGATTGTAGACATATTTGAATACAATTTAAAAAGAAGTCAATAAAAGCTGTTATACATGCTTTTGGTTACAATTAAACAGGTATATTTCCTCTTAATGTTACTCATTTTACAGTTGTACAAGGGGATTTGAAATTATTTGAGCTGTTAATGGCAGTGGTGTTGTATAGATAATAGGCCTTGTCAAGTAAGATTACCAGATTAGGTTTGCTGAAGGTATTTTGGCTGTCGTTAGGAGAAATGCGACTTTTTACTTGAAATTTAATTGGCGAAGTTCCAAATATTAGGAAACATGCCTTTGCTCATACAAAAAGTTGAATTTTACTCATGCATTTGCATGAGTAATTGATTTCTTTCAACCTTGATGTATTTTTTTAAATGCTTCGCTCTCATTACTCACCACTCAATTTACTTTCTATGATACCTCCTTCAGAAGTTTTCCTGCTTTCTTGGACATATTGGAGCTTTTCTAAGAGATGTTTATTTAAACAATTGAAGGCGTTTTTCAGTACTAGCTTTAAGTAATTTGGCTTAATATTTTGTATCTCACTTGGAAAGGATGACTATTCTTATTGAAGTTCCACCCTATTTCTTCATTAAAAGAGTGTGTTAGTTTTGGATGCTCTTGCTTCTAGGATGATATTTTCTTGCCATAGATCATTAGCGCTCCCTAATTATTTGAGAATTAGAGTGAACAGGTCTATGGCTATGTGTAGGTTACCTTAGCCTGAGAATAGTGCTGGTTTCATTTTGTATGCCCCATAAAACCACCTGCTACAGTCTGCAGCTATATATCTTATATTTCTGTGGCTTCTGGAGCTTCCTACAATGAGAGCAATGACTTGTGAAAAAAATGGACTAAACCAATGGTTTTCCTCCATGCTGAGATACTTGTGATCAGACTTCATTTGGTCTGTAAAGGAGCCAGTATAGCTCCTTCCCTTTGTATCACAAAAAAGGAATGCCAAATGGAAGTGACTACAGTTAGAAATAAAAAACAGTTTTGTTGCAAGACAAACTAAATCCAGTTTATATTGTGGAGGAAACCTGCAATGATGTTTAGACACTACATTTGGGAAAATATTCTCACTTGCCCTAAGTCTCTGAGACAAAAGCACAAACTTAGTTGTGAATCATAAGAAATGAAACTCAGAATTCACATTATTTGAACAAGAATAAAACTCCCAAACTTGTAACTTTTTTTAGAAATTTATATTTAACCATTAATCATAATAATTTCACCAATCATCTTCAAATAATAAACAGGTAGATAGTTATCACAGACAGCATCTGTAATTTTTAAAAAAGGTAAAGTTCTCCTCCCAGACATTCAGGAAATAAAAATGGAGAATTCTTTCAATATATCATATCAAATTGGTTTTTATAGCTTATGATTTAAAAAATTAAAAAAATTCCCCCCAAAACAACCAAGATCCCAAAAAACCTTTGTAAAAGAGTCCCCAGAGGGCGATGAGAAATTAAAGGAAGGGTTAATTCTACTGGAGTATAAATTGGTTTGTAGTCTGGCATATAACTGTAAGAAACAGAGAGCTTACTGTTTTCTGTATAGATGTTTCACACAAGATGAGCGAAATGCAGATGGATAACAGCTTTAAGAGGTTTTTCAAATGGGGAAGTAGCTACCAGAACAATGTAATTCCCATAGCTGCTCTTGGGCTACAGGGCAAGTTAAGTAGCATATTAAGTCATCTAAATAAAGGGGTGACATCATTCACAAGGTGGAACAAAACAAGGTTTATAGATACAGAAAAAAGGCTACAGAAAATCCCCATCCTGTATTTGGAAGGTTTGCTTTTTTCTATTTAGTCTGAAAAATTGGGAAGGACACTTCTACTAAAATGGATCTGGATTTTGATTATTTGAGTAAAATGGTTATAATAATTCTTTCTTTGTCCAAGGGCACGGTTGCTCTGAGTGGCTTATAAAATAGACTGACTCATTCTGTAACATGTTTTTGTGAATCCTTTCTCACATACAGGAAAAACAAATGCATTTCAGGTTTGGCCAATGAATTATAAGGCATTTTCACACATTAACAAAACTTGTATGGGTTAAATAGATATTTAAATGACAATTTGTAAAAGCCAAACACCACTTCCATAATTCTGATATGTATTGTGACTTGCACATTGAGCGTTTTGCAAGAATTTAATCAACCATAAGGTAAAAGATAATATTAATGTACTATTGAATGAATTACAGGGGGTTTTCTTTTTTTCTTTTTTCTTTTTTTAAGGGACCACCCATTAGCCTTGTATGCCCACTGCCATGCTCAAAAGTTAAATCTTGTTCTTGTGGAGTCTTGCCAATGCATTCCTGAAAGTAAGAAGCTTTTTGTTTTTAATAGCGCAAGGGCTGCATTCATTCTTTTTAACATCAATAGAATACAAAAAAGGGGTTGCATGTGATTAAAAAAGAAATGGGATTATAGAAAACATACTGTGCCACAAGCTTGAAGGCTTCTGAACAAGAATGTTAGGAAGGAACACTAGTCGCATACAAATGTAGGGTTGAGATGCAATGTTTTATTTAATATTTTAAGATTAGCTAAAGCAAAAGGACAGTGTAGTGAGGCCTTTTAACATACTAGAGGAATCAAAAATATAGATATAAACAAACAAAGTACATCTATACATTAAAAAAATAAAATTGAACTTTTCTTTCTCTCATCCT